GAGCGTCGAAGGTTTTTTTAATGCAACAAGAAAAGCTTTATATGTGTGTAAACCAAACTTTATGAAGTTCGAAATGAACGAAAACCGACATTACAATATCATGTACTTGTCACATGATATATATGATGCTATTCAATATAATGTCCGTTTTTTTTTTCGCATTATTGAAATCCGAGAGACTGCAAGAATTGCGTCAATCGTAATGCTTCGAGAATCATCGATGTAACTTTCGAGGTCTTTTTTTTTTAATTAGAGTCTTTAAAGAGAAACGCATTTGTGTTACGCTTCACTTCGCAAAGCGCAAAAAATAAACATGATTAACGGCTTGGACTTGACAACAACATGTAAAGAAAAAAAATTCCACGCGCCAAAACACGCTGCAACGATGGATATCGCTTTGCGAGGTCAGGATTACACGTGTCGGAATTCGTCGAGATAATTAAATAAAGAGCCGATGCGTGCGAGGAGCGAAGCATTCGAAGATGGACGCTTCTTTGTCTCTCGTCTTTTCGTACATGCATCTGGGCTTTCTTTATTCTTGGCAAATATACTATTTCCGAGCGTATATTTACGGTCGCCGAGAGACGGTTCCCGTTATTTAGCTATCCGTTGATCCGAAAAAAGATTTCGCTGCGTATCCTTGGCAGTTGTCAGATTAACATCGTTTACTTATTAAGTCAATGTCAGTTGCAATAGTTCACAATACGCTTCTGCGAGTATTGATGGATAATCTAAAATTGAGAAAATCGCGTCAAACGTTAAGAAACTGCGTCAATTCTGATAGCAGAGATAATAGAAATATTGAGCGAATAATACAGGTTGTCCACCCACACAAATTTTGAAAAAAAAATTCCTTAATCTTCCACATTTTTTTTGTTCAAAGTTCTAGGTAAAAAGAATTTTTTTAGATATTTTTTTGGATGCAATTTTCTAAAATAGGTTTTTTTCTTTGTGTACATTTTCTCTTTCTTCACACACATACAAAAGAAAAATAAAGAGCCACTTAAGTTTCAAGTGCTAGATTTGAAAATGAAAAAACTGGATAGTTTTCGTAAGATAAACATTCTTCACCTGCATAAATTATTAATTTTTTTATCACTAATAATTACAACAAAATTCACAACTTGGTCAATCGGTGGATTGCCGATTGCTTATAATATAAAAACAAAATTATCAGAGGGAATCGTTTTTAAAAAAAATTCTCTAAATTCCAATAGAATTCTATGAGACTTCCCTAATTTTTGCAAATACAAAAAAATCTTTGAGAATTCCAGGTTTTCCACGTTCTTTCAGGGAATAATAGACACTCTGATAATATATAATTAATAACAAAGAATATTATAAACGATAATTTTTGTAAAACGAATAATAATCATTCGAACCTTTTTTTTACGAGGAGCAAATATTAAATTCTTCATTTACGAATATTAAAATGTAAAAGCACGTACTCTCCAAATGCAATATAATGATGAAGATAATAAAGTAAAAAATTATTGCTCTACAAGAGAAGCGAGAACAAGACCACAGATGCAAGAATACGTCTACGTTGCACTTTAGAATAAGATACTCGACTCATCATGGTATTTCCACGTCATAAATAATCGTCAGGTAATTTCGCAAATGCAAACTTTCGCGTTCCGATCTGTTTGCGCCGGACTGTAGCGAACTAATTTATCCTCTATCGGAGATCTATTAATATCGCCAAGAAATATCGGAATTAATTAAATTCGCAATTTACCCTATCGGCGATAAAAGATACACATACACACATACGAAAGCTTATATCTCTTAATATAACAAAATCTACAAGACAAAATCTATATTATGTTACTTGCCAATATTATCAGAACATTTTATAGTGTGTATTCTTAATCAATATAAAAACCAATATAATATAAATTTAATATAGTAAAACATTAACTCTCTCATATATGTAACTGAATATTAATAAATAAACAGATAAATCAATATCGAAGCTATAACCGTGACGAAAGTGTATGGATGATTTATAAATTAATGAATAATAATCGACAACAAAAACACACATACACACGAAGATTTATAACCGACCGTTCGTTATTTTTTTTTTTTCGTCTTGTTTTTACAGACGTCTGGTAAGCCCCCAAAAAGCATGTATAATCGTGACTTTTCGAGGAAGATCAGAAAAACAGCGTATACTGCGTATATGAATCTAGATTCGTTCGTTGAATTCATTCGTTTTGTGTGCTATCGGCGGTCGATGTGACGCCGAGAGAATCCTTGAGAAATAGAGAGAGAAAGAGAAAGAAATCGTCATGCACAAGGTGGATGACGATGGCGCACAAAGAGATAGCGATAGAATGACGCAAAACGAACGTATAAGTGAGCGAACTTCCACGTTCCCTCCTCCCCTCATTCCCCCTTCTGGCCCCCGAACACACCAACACACCATTACTTTCCGTTTCCTCACGACACGTCACTGATGCGCCGTGACAGCTGCTCACCACAGCTCAGAGCTGTCAAACTTGAACAAAATTTATAGAAAATCAGCAGTGAGTCAATCAGGTGACGAATTAATTGCCTGTGTTTTTCGCGGAAGAAATGTTAACGGCGAACACAACAAATGATGATAGGAAATAACAAGCTTCTGGCAAAATTACATCGAGTACATCGAGCAAAACGGATAGACTAATCAGTAAAATAATTTGTGTAAAATTAAAGTAAATTTGTTTATAAAAAAAAAAAAATGAATGAAGGAGATGAATAAAATTTTTCATTACTTGGCTTGTCTTGATATTGCGCAAATTCAGCAAATTTGCGCGAAAGATAAACCGAGTAGTGAGTCACTCGCTTATTATATTTCTTGAAAATAGATAATGACAAAAAAAGATAAAGCGAATATAATCCGCTTTAGTTGACCCGTTTCCGGAATTAATAAAAAGATAAGTAGCAGGTTATTATTCTTTCGATCTTTTTCCAGCGAGAATGATGGAAAAGATAAGCGAGTCAACTATTAGTTTTGGAGTTACTTTCAAAAACGACGAGATAAGCAAGTGTTCGTATAATTTTTTTCCAACACACAAGAGGTAAAAAGATAAGCGACTAACTCACCACTTGACGTATTCGCCTCCAATATTTTTATGACATTCTAGTGGTTTTTTTCAGCGTATTACAGTCGATTAGATTTTACGACTTTTTTGCGGTAACGCGTGAACGGAATATTAATAACAATGGAATTTTAATAACAGTAAACAAAAATATATCTAGATATAAGAAATAAAATAAATACGCGAAATACAATGGAAGTAGGATTACGTCCGATATGATTTTGTCTTTTAATATAAAAAATATAAAATATCTTTTTAAAATATATGATAATATGCGTTTTTATCATTGAAATGCGCGCAAAATTAAGCAAATGACTCGTCGAAACGGAGAAAAAGAAGGATCGCGATAAACATCTTTATCTCGCGCCATATGATCGACGTAAGTTGACTCATCTAGATACATGCTGGTAACCGCATCCATCCCTAAGCTCGACAAAGGACCTACAAGGTATCTGTTATTTACAACTGTAAGTAGTCAAGGAAAAGATCAAATTTTGAGTTCAAAGATTATCGGATAAGTTTCAAGCCTGATTTCGGATAACAAGGAATATATTTACTCTGTCGAATCTGATTATACAGCAAACCCGGACCAAAGGACAAAAGAAATGAAAAGAAGATGTTATGCCTCCAGAACATCGAATAAACTTTTACGAAAAAATCGCACAGCCAATGAAACAGTTACGAGAAAATCTGCGCTGCCGTAAATAAATTTAACGAACGCGTAATTAAGGATCTCCTATGGATTTATCGAATGACTCAAAGTCGAATGAGAGAAAGAACCCGTGTGAGTACGATTGTAGAATAAATCCAGATTTATTCGAACATCGCGAGCGTTCTACAGAAGACCGAGTGACGCGAGAACAGAATTTGGAATCGCGTGTTCATTGATTTGCGCGTAACGTAAACGTTTGACTCGCTTGAAGGAAAATCAGCGCGTCTATTCATAGTATGATAAACGTTTTCAGGTCTTGCTGCAACAAAGGAGCGCCGCCGCCGATCGGAGCTCTCCCCATACAGCGTGTATGCGCTGCACGGCCGTTTAAAGGTGCATGTATAGCGATGCACTTCGCTGCGAGAGACAACCACACAATCGTATGGGCGAGGTTGAGATGTAACAAGAACGAGTTTTTCAACCAGATGTTTCGTCGGCATTCTTCCAATTCCCCGTTCGAATATTCACCGCGAACTTTAAGAAGATCGTCGTCCCTCATGAAAATTATCGTCGCGCGTAAAATGTTAATAATTTTCATTCACCAAGATTGTTAGATATTCGATTGTGTGTATCTCTCCACTAAACTAATATTCTTTCAGACAATCGAGGAAATTTAACTTGATTTTTTTAGGAAAAATGTATCAAGATATAATCTTTTCTTTCGATATCATGCATCTGTCAGTTCGTAATTTTTTTTTTTTTTTAACCATACGCAATCAGAGAAAGCGTCAAAAATCAAAACTATTAAGCTTTGATAAATTTAAGAAGATCGTCGTTTTATTGAAATTATCGTCGCGTAAAAATTATAATTTTCACTCATCAAAATTGTTAGATATTTAATTATATGCACCTCCCAACAAAACTAATGTCCTTTCAAATAGTCGAGGAAATTGAACTTGATTTTTCGATAAAAAAAAATATATCGAGAAAAGAATGAAATTTTTTTCTTTTGATGATTTATCAAGATTATTAATTAAATATTAGATTATATATATCTCGATGAAACGTTCTCTCAAACAATCGAGAAATTTGAACTTGATTTTACATTAAGAAAAATATATCAACACGAGGATATAATTTTTTCTTTCGATATCGTCGGTTCACAATTTTTTTTTTTTTTTTTTTAAATTATACGCAATTAGAGAAATCGTCACAAATCAAAACTATCACGCTCTACCGAGAAACGCACGAGATCTTAGGGGCATTGATTAGATCCACAAACGCGAAGAGTGTATCAATCTTAAAAATAGCCCGATAATGATCGCTAGTAGAAGCACGACCGAGTATGTATAGAGTGCTTGTATCGGTATTCTCAACGTGTATGCGTGCAATAAGATCTTTTTATATACATCCCTATATAAAATATTTAGAGGGTACACGCGCGCGCCTCGAGACTCGAGCTAATATAAAATCGCCTATCGTGTCGTTGAAAACGTGACACAAGAACGAAACACACACGCCTACCTTCGAAGTCGGTCGTGTGTGCATGTGCTCGAGCAGCATCGATCGGCGATAATAAAAATTTATATTAAAAAAAATTCCAAAAAACAATTTTTTTTTTTTTTTTTTTAAATTATACGCAATTAGAGAAATCGTCACAAATCAAAACTATCACGCTCTACCGAGAAACGCACGAGATCTTAGGGGCATTGATTAGATCCACAAACGCGAAGAGTGTATCAATCTTAAAAATAGCCCGATAATGATCGCTAGTAGAAGCACGACCGAGTATGTATAGAGTGCTTGTATCGGTATTCTCAACGTGTATGCGTGCAATAAGATCTTTTTATATACATCCCTATATAAAATATTTAGAGGGTACACGCGCGCGCCTCGAGACTCGAGCTAATATAAAATCGCCTATCGTGTCGTTGAAAACGTGACACAAGAACGAAACACACACGCCTACCTTCGAAGTCGGTCGTGTGTGCATGTGCTCGAGCAGCATCGATCGGCGAAAAGACACACGCGTGCTCTCCTGCGTGTTGGTTCGACACGCCGGGAGTGCCCGTTGCATTTCCGAGAACAAAGCGGGATTTTCGGAATGAGCGACGATACGCGAGCCTCTTCTCCTGGGAAGAGGACACAATGGCGAGAAATATAGGATCCCGTAAGGGACGCGCGTTCCGATTCGCCATATTTCAAGCCTTAACCCCTTCGAGACGAAGATCGGAAAGAGATGAGAAAGAGAGAGAGAGAGGTCTAAATATAATTGTGATAACGATTATATCGACGCGCTTAATATACAATATATATGCTATAATATACTGAAATTATTGAGATCACTTTAAATTATGGAGACTAGTTTCTACTGTAGCTTACTAATTTTGCGATTTGCAAAGCGATTTGATTCTAGAACGCTGACTATGTGAGCAAGATGTGCATATGTTATCGTATTGTATGCCAATATTTTGAGTGTTATTATATATTTGTCATTAAATAATTTTCAATTTAAAAAAATTCTATTATTGAAATTAAATTCTTATGAGAATGTAAATTAAATTGCTATATGAAAATGTAAGCAAGGTTTCACAAAAAATTCACCATCCGCTTATAAAACACATGTCGAAACTCGTATCGATTAGTCGTTACACATCCTTAGTAAGTATTAGCGTGCGTATTATTGCAGAAATTACGGTCAGCATTCTAGAGTCGAGTACGTAACGTACGGAAGAAGGTAGGAGGAGAAGACTATCGCGAGAAAAACACGCGTGTCGTTTGCTCGGCACCGAGGTTTTTTTTTTCTCTTTTTTTTTTTTTTTCCCACGCTCCTCGGATCCGAGGAAAGAGACACGGTAAACGATTTCCCCGTAACGGTCACGCGTACGAGAACGTACTCGGAAAAATCCAAAACGCCAATCCAAACGGTCTGCTGTTGCACGAGGAAAAGGAGCACGATAGGATAACACACGCTCGTCGCAACGAGCGTCTACGAGAAGAAGCGTAGCGTCGAAGGCACGTACTAATTCCGGAATTCGTCGAAGCCAGGAAGGCACGCGGAAGGATGGAGGGGAGCCAAGGAGGGCCTCTCACGCTCTCCCCTACCCTTCCCTTCCTTCCGAGAGCACATCGTGGAAAATTTGTAGGATGAAAGGAAGGCTACGAAAATCCTTTTTCTCACGCAACAAACTCGTTCACTGCGTTTCTTTCCGCAACTTTTCTCACGCGCGTGCCGTTCTCGACAGACATCTCGCCT